AAGATAATTCTTTAGATGTTTCTTTAAAAAAGATACACTTTGTGATACTGGTTGTATCAAAGGTTTCCTTTGCAGGTAAAAGGGAACTTCAGTTATGAAGCTTCCCAGTCCTGCATCCAAATATTGATAAAATTGATGCCATCAAAATAGTTAGTTTATATTTAGTTTTGACTTTTTTTTTTTTCATTTCCCCCACTAGTTATCAAAAAACAGCTAATAGCAGCTTGGGAAGATTACTTTTGATGAGAGTAATATAAACTAAATTGCTTAAGCCTATTTCCTGTAGCCTTCTGAAAACCAACTTTGCCATTTCTTGCTGTCTTGCTAACTAACATAGCCATACCTTAAAGTAGAATTTCTTTTTGTTTACTGGGACTTTAGAGATCCTGAATCCTGTCTGCTTTTCCTTTCTGTTGACTTCCAAGTGAGAAGAGGATGGTGGGAATTCTGGGTTTTGTTTTTTTTTTTTTCCCGTGGAAACATCTTTTCAGATTTTAAGATCCTTCTTGATAGCTCAGCGAGCATATGCTTGCTTTCTACCAGCTTGATACTTACTTTCTGCCTATGTCCAAAAGAAATATGTTTTGTGCATGTTTGGTTGTTGCCGGGATTTTTAATTTTTTTAAAATTTTTTTTATTATTTCCCCAGATGGGGCAAATCTTTTGTCAACAATGGATGTTGTTGGGGGTTTGGGTGTTTTGTTGTTCCCCCCATATCCTCTTTAAAAGGTAGTCTTGGTTGTAAGACTCTAGAATTTAAAGAGTCTGCTCAGGGGAAGGAACATTTGTCTTTATACTCAAGTCAGTTATACATAGTATTGGCAGTCATTGCACCACCTTTGTATTTAGGAAGGTAAGGTGGAGTAAATGCATCCCAAATTTATTGTGGTACTGCTGTGGTTCAGTCATGGTTCTAGTGGAATAAGAAATCTAGCATTTAAAACAGTTTGGCTTGTATTACTTTCTATTCAGTAAGAAGATAAATATTACTTCAGTCTGATGCATACTAGATAGCTAAGGAGAGCAGCACCTAATGGTGTAAGTCAGCTGGGATTTTAGACTTCAAAAATATTCATTATAACAGTTTGCAATGATAGTATTTATTTTCCTTTTTTTGTCTGTGGATAATCAAACTTGATGGTTCAGAGTGTTTTGCTATGTCTTGGAATATTCAGTTTATCTTCTCGTTGCTTGTGGGATGCCTTTTTAGTTACATTAATCTTGTACAAAGTAACTGAAAACTGACTACCCAGATTACCAGGAACTGAAGCTTTCCCAGAGATTTATTCCTTCAACTGTTACACAGCAGAGAAATTGTATGACACATAACATCTTTTGCTCTGTTTGTAATTTCCAACTAACAGGAAGAAATTTCTAGAATTCAATGTAAAATCCTCAGAAGATCTTTCTTGAAAGCATTAAAGTTTTTACATTAAAAAATGTAGCATAGTATAACAAAAAAGTTTCTCTAGGGTGTAAATTAGACACCTAGACAATGTAATTCAGATTGACCTGGGTTAATAGTAAAAAGTTTGAGTTACAGAAGTTCTATATTTGAAATAAAATTTCTAGATTATTGATTAAAACTGTAATGATTTTTTTCTATAATACTACAAAGGTGTACAAAAAATACCTTCCTTGTGACTGATACATATGTGTATGTATATATGTATTGTATATTTAAAAAATATTAAAAAGACTCTGTTCAACAATTTAAAAGTTATTTACGGGTCTACTTTTGGGGCTGGACTATTAAGGAATTCCCAATTCCTTATGAAATTAGGATTTGTTATTGATAGCCAGGTGAGATGCCAAGTTTCATGCTTGCTTGTAACCATGTAACCATGTGTCCAGAATTCTACATGGTCATGGGACCACGTGGTTCTCCAAAGAAAAGTTACAGCCAGGAGCAGGCTGTTTTCTGGGGAACTGTTCTGATTTTTCTGTTCCCTCTGTCTTTCTTAGTTGCCCTTTGGGAAAACAAGGGCCAGGTGCAAGCTCCATCAATGTCCCTTCGTTGGAGGTGAGGGGGTGTAGCTGTGAGCATGCACGGTGAATTTTGAGTTTCTAATCTCCAGCCTGGATTTAAAGCGCTTGTTCAGTACATCTGATGCTGTCCCAAAAGCTCGCACACAATAGCTCCTGCAGTCCCCTCGTACTGAAACAAGTAACTAGAAAGGTTGAGTGCCTTTAATTGTACATTATTGATGCCTTTAGGGACCTTCTGTAAACAGAGTATCCACTACTTAGATTTAAAATCTAATCTGCAGACTGGAAAGTCAAAGATCTCAGTTTATCTTGAGTTCTCCAGTTTGAATTCACAAATAGTCTAAACCTAATTTTCGGTGTCATGTTCTATTCATTACCTGAATTTAAGAGGAATTGCAGCAGGACGAAACTACTAAATACATACTTAATAATTTGATCTACAAAGCTGTAAATGCAAGAATGAAAGCTAAGTCAATTCTCTAATATTTTGCAACATGCACTGTATTTCACTGGCCAGCATGCACTGCATTGCACTGATCATCAACTTCCTAGGTAGAATAAAGATCTCGGTTGTAATTCTGAAGTCATATGTTTAAAGGTCCATAACAGTCTATGGATATTACTTTGTACAAGTTTTTTTCTCTGAATGTATTTTAAAAACAGTTTCATGAGGGTGGGTTGCTTGTTGGAAGACATCAGGTGCAATTTTTGTTCAGTGTGTCTCATTTGAAGGCACCACTGAAGGCCAATGACTATCCTTGTAATGAGTAAATTTCAAGTACATTAATGATGAGTGTTGAAGTATTGAGAGGTAATTTTTTAAGGAAACATGAACAGCCTTGTAGAAGAATATTGTGCACAGGTTTTTTTAATACATTCTTGGGTTCTAAGAATGAAATAATTCTTCTGTCTGTTGTGATTGAGTCTCGATACTGTCCTTTTAGCTGACTGGCTGAGATGAGGACTGCAGTAAGTACCCTTGGACCTGTCACCAGTTCTATTACACAAACATTGTGCATTAATGCTGAAGTTACAAGCAAAATACGCTAGCTCTTGGTAAAAATAATACCTAGCATTTCTAATTCTCCAAAGATTCATGGGGGACATTACCCTTTCCAGAACTAAGGATACTCTTCCATTAGGCATGCTACATCAATTTTATATTGATCAATAGTATTTTAAAATGCAGAGTAAGTTATTTGCAAGTGTATTTTTTTATATTACAGGACCTTGCAAAAGTGTGCTATTACTGTAGGGAGATGGCCCACTAAGGACTTTGATCAAGGATGAGTTACTTGTAAATGTTTTATGAACTCGAATGGGAAGGTTTTAAATAAATTTAGGTTATACTGGCAGCATTGCTTTGTAAGTGAAGCTACTTAAGACCTCACTGTTGTTTGGACTTTCTGTATTAAGTTTCATCACCATTTGGGGTTTGACTGAAACGCTAAGGTGATTTGGGGCTTTTTGTTGTGCTATTTTTAGAGTTCACTTTTGGTTGTTTAATTTTTATTCACAGCTTGAAGGCAGTCCGTAGGTGACAAGAGGTAGGAAGCTGCCAGCCAGTTGTGGGGCTATGTTTTGAAACGCAGTTCTACACTGGTGCAGTTGGCTGCTGTAATACATTAACAATATACAACTATTTCTGATCTGACTAAAAGATAATATAAGGAATAATATAAGGCAGTGAAAAATCCCAATCACGTTTATCTTAGTGATTTTGTAAATGTCAATACTAAAGCTATTAAATGCAAAGGCTGACTGACAACATGGGTACTTGACTGAAGTATGGAACAACCTGAAAGCTAGGCAATAAGCTCTTTTGTGTAGATAAGTTGTTAGGAAGTTTACTGTGTAACATTGTACTTGGTAGTGGTTCATATCAGGCTTTTAGATATGCTAGGTCTCTTTTCGACTGGATTTAGTTTTTGTCAGCTGCAATTACCTACACAAAAAATGAAAAACTACTTAATGTGGAGAAACATTTTTTTATGTCTGTAGCTTGACTATTGGAGCCATGGCTCTACATGATACAGCACCATAGATAATGTGTTCCGTGTGTCTTTTAACTGTGTAAGTTGATTGGAATGATTTATCAAATGATGATTAATCATTGGAACATGGGATTGATTTGATTGATTTGCATACATAAAGATTTATAAAACCATGGTGTGATTACTATATGTGTGCCTGGGAAATGACCTGTAAATTAATCAAAACTATGTCTTTGATATTGAATTCTTGCTATAAATACTTGTATTTACTTTTTAAAGCTGCATAGAGATTATTAAAGCATAAACAAAGCTAACTAATGCTTCACAACTTTATCCTGTAGTAATAAGACACATAACCATGATCTAAACCTGTGGTACTTATACTTTTCTAGTTTGAGGTGTAACAACATGTGGCTCTCTTTGAGATGGAGAAGAGGGCAGTATGCTAAATTACTTTCCTTGCCATTTTAATAATGGAATTGGATCTATGGGCTATCTGTGATCAACCCCTGAGCAGTGAATCACCTGCCGGCTGCTGTAAGCCCCATCTGGGGAAGAGCTGAGAAAGAGGGCAGGCGGGTGCTGGCTGTTGGTGGCATCAAACCACTTAATTTGCGCTGCTGCTTCAGTGCTTCTCCAAATTCAGGAGAGGAACAGCCTGTAGCCAGCATTAATTGTTCAAATGATGGCAGCCCGCTCCCAAAGTCAGCTCTCCTGCAGGCCCCTCTGCCCATGCACCATGATGCGGTCAGATGCGTTCCTCTTGGGTCACAGGAGACAACTCCCCTTCCATGAACAGAGGACTGTTGCCCTGGCAATTCCTCCAGCCCGGAGTCTACTCAAGGGTACAGGTTAAAAGCCTCTGGAAGGAGAAGACAGTGTAATCTCCCCTGGGAGGCAGCTTTTTTTGCTGAACCCGCTTCGCCTGCTCGGGTCAGATGAGAACAGGCTGTACCTGAGCAGAGATGTAAGGCTGTTAATATGAGCTTAATGTGTGCATGCCTGTGTCTTTTTCAGGGTGTTGATGATGCCTTCTATACATTAGTTCGAGAAATCAGAAAACATAAAGAGAAGATGAGCAAAGACGGTAAAAAGAAGAAAAAGAAGACAAAGACAAAGTGTGTAATTATGTAAAAACAATTTATCCTTATTCTTAGAAGTACTTAAGTAATTTTGTACATTACACTAAATTATTAGCATTTGGTTTAGCATTACTTTACTTTCTGCTTCATGATCCTGTTAGCTTTACCTGAATGCTTGTTTTAAATGACAGTGGAAACTTCATTCCTCTTAAAGTGCCAGTATTCTTTGACTGTTCGTTCTTGAACTAGCAATGCCTGTGAAAGAAAACAAAACAAAAAGACACAAAAGCCTGAGTACTGTCTTGGGACTCTTTGGTGCATGCACAGTTGCTAACTTTCTGTTTTTCTTACTGCTTGTGAACTTCTGTTGTGTGTGCAAACCAAACAATGAAATGATGCTCTACACATTCAAACATCCCCTTTGAATTTTTGGGTTTTAAATCTGGTTGGGGAAAAAGGACTAGTCAGCAAAAGACTTCCATTTTCACCTTTCTTTTATTTTAAACTGACTGCAATATAGAGAGACCAGAAGCCTTTTATAGTCTTCCTGTAGATTTTGCTTCTAGGCCTCTAGTCTTGTAGCATTTCAGATCAACTTGAATGAATGTAAAGATAAAATTTTCACAAACACAAAAAAATCACCGCAATTTGTCACGGTCACTCCTTAAATACTCTATTTTTTCTATAAAAAATAAGAAAAATTAAAAAAAAGACAACAATGCACATCTGGCAATGGAAAAAGTGTAAGTTCTAATTAGGTTAATTTGCTATTGTTAATGCTTTGCTTTAAGACTTTCACTAACTTTCTGTGTCTGAAGACCGAGGTGAAATCCTAGCTCTCCTGACCCCCAGTGGCAAATCCTCAAGTAGATACAGGATTTCACCCTTAGTGTCTCTAGGAAATACTAGAAAGCCTTAACAGATAAGTTGATTTAAATTCTTAGGTTATTTCATACATGGATCCAGAATCTACTATAAGAATTGAGTCAGAATGAACTCTAAATTATATAGCGAAGTAAGACCATTCTTTTTTTTTTCCCAAGAGTGGCATTAAACATTTCCATGGGCCCATTTTGTGCAAAATGGGGGAGGAATTTTAAACTCTGGTAACATCAAAGGAGTGAATGAGTTGAATTTAGCTGCTTCATGCAAATAATTCAGAAATCCACTGTGTGTTAAAAATGGTGTGGAATTTGCACAAACTTGTCAGCATAGAACATGGATTCCAGAGTCGACGCTGTTTGTGTGGTGTTTGTGAAGTACTAGTTTTGTTGCGCAGATTACGTGGCTGGTGAGTGGCGTTCCAGCATCTAGCCTGTTCTGAAGGTAGACCAAGATTTCCATGTTATCTTTGACTGCGATTAAGTTCTCTTGCGATTTTTTTTTTTTTTTTTCTCTCTCCCTTCCTCCCTCCTCTTTTCTTTCTGATTGGAATTGATGCAGAATTTTTGCAGAAACTTTCATTTTTTTTGGTACTGCAGTAGTCTAGTTATTGTGCACTAAAGCAAGAGCCAGTACTTCCAGTGTTGCCAGTACCTGTTGTCTTACTGTAAATGTTGCATTGTTTGATTTTTTTGTTAGGGCCTGTGTTCCTGAAGGTGTACTTCTTCAGAGTACCTAACTCAGCTACAGAAGAAAATTTGATAATGTGACTCTGGTGTACTTGAAAAAAAAAAAAAAAACACAAAAAACCCACAAGACATTGAAGTAGGATAGCTCAGGACACTGGGAAGTTTGGGAAAGGGAATAGCAGAATTGCCCTAATCTAAGGTATACCTAAACTTGAGTGGAATTTTCACACAGTACAGTTTTTGCACACCTGTGTAACTCATATGATGTCAGAGGTGCAACTGCATGAGACAAGTATTCTGCTTCCACAAAAAAACCCTGCAAAACCAGTGATTCTCGTAGTTGGAGAGCTGCAAAGCTAGCAGGGGACGAGTCCTGTCTGGATTTCTGTGTGTTCTTTAATTTCAGTGTGGCTGTGCCCCTCATTCCCTACCTTCCACCAAAACCCAGATCCCCTCCCCTCCTTTCTGCTTCGATATGAAATATACTTTGGATTATGAAATATTCTGAAAAACAGTAATAGGAGAATCTAATTTGTATTGTACGGACTAATAAGGAATAAGAACAGATCCTTAATGTCGCAAAACGTTTTACAGCTTCCAAGGTTAAAACATTTGGGAGACAGTTATTTGCACATTTTAGACACTTTTGATTATATATGAAGAACGCAGCAAAAGTCGATAGTATACCTTGAGCTGAGCAAATGGAAGTAATCTTAAGATTACTTGAAGATTTTTGGTAACTGAGTCACACTGCATGTAAAATTAGGGCTGGTCTTAAAATTCTTATGTTAATTTAACCAAAATCTTTTAGGAGAAATTTTAGCTGAAATGTCTGAATCATCAAATGTGGATTTATATAGCTTTAATATAAAGCTATATACAAAACAGTATTTTCTTCAGTAATTGTGATCTACCAATCTAATTAAATTAGTACAAAATCTATTTACATTAGTCCTTATTCACTTTAAAAACAAAAACAAACCACATCCTTGCCACTGTTGTGCAGTTTTGTCTTAATATTTGTTGAGATTTGGTGAAGCATGTTGAATTGCAGCTTGTGCAAGTTGATCTCATGATTTTCCTGTCTCTCCCTATTTGAAATGCTTTCTGAGAACATACCTGGATGCTGTCTGTTCTGATAGCAACTACTAAATAAACTTGTGAATCACTTACCATGTTGATACATTAAGTTACCATGTGTCAGGGAGTAACACCTTCTTACAGTAGCTTTATGTAACTGGTAAACAAATTCGTATTATCATTTTTCTCAAAACTGAAAACTAATTATTTTGACCAGTCCCATTGCCCTAAAACTTTTGCTAACTTAAAAAGTTTCACTGTAAAGGTTTTGTTACAGTACCAGGATATCTGTGATGGGTAAATACTGACACGTAATCTTCTGCTCTTATTTATACTATGAAGCAATACAATTATTACCTTCAAAGACCATCAAACTGTAAACAAATCATTTTGTCTGAAGTTTACATAAAGCTACATAGATGGTAAATCTTTCCTAACATTTCTTTATTCCACTGTCTTGTGTTTTCATGTTGAAAATACTTCTGCTTTTTCCTCTTGAGTGCCAACTTCTTACTAGAATGACTTCTTAATGTAATATGTTTACCTGGAATGTATTTTAACTATTTTTGTATAGTGTAAACTGAAACATGCACATTTTGTACATTGTGCTTTATTTGATGTGGAACATATGCAGTGTGATCCAGTTTTTCCATCATTTGGTTGTGTGACCTAGGAATGTTGGTCATACAAGACATTAAGTTAAAAAAAAAAAAAAAGGAAAAAAAAAAAAGACCACTGTTTGTTTTAAAGTTTTTAATGTTTTTAGGAGTATGTGCTGTGAGGTGATCTGGAATTTGTCATTTTTTTTTGTCAAACTGTACTGCTCCTATTTATTGTAATGTAATAAAAAATAGCTATTGTGAATTTCTGTCCCAGCTTCCTTTATCCCTGCAAGAAATTCAGTGCCTTGTCACTGTAATGGAGTATCCCATGAATTCCATATCCTTCGCAGCCGTCCTCCACTTATTTCTGGTACTGCTCACTGCCTGTTGCAAAGCAGTTGTCCTCACACACTGGCGTTCCTTCTTCGAAGAGGGGGTGCTGCCACCACCCTGCTTTGACAAAACGCTTTGTCCCGCGGCTCCATCTCCTCTGATCCGTGCGGCTTCTGCCTTCTGGGCTCTGCTGTGAGCAGAGGCGAGGCGGCACTTCTCAGGCTGAGCCATCTTCAGTCATGCCCCACAGACCTCACTTTCTAACAGCGGCCTTGATTTGAATTGGTCTACAAGCGTAAAATAACCCCAAGAAGCGATTCTGTGTTCATTCCCATGTGTGTTTGTTCTCTTCTACCAAATGCCTACCATAAACTTACAGAAGATATGAAAGACATTTAGTACAGATTGTGTTCTGAGGCGGGGAGAGGGAGAAGCATGAAACTGCTACTGTTCTGTAACTTTGGCCCTTTGTTACCATGCCTGGATAATATCTTAGTTATTGAGAAGAGTAGGTTAAGTTTTGTGTATAGAGGTATCAGATTAGGTTTAACTGCAACATGTTGTGGAGGAGCTGAGCTGATGTAGAAGAACCATTTTTCACATCAACATGGTGCTAGAAAGTGAAGCATATATATTTCACCACAAGGTAGTGTACTGTCCAATTTCCCATTTTTTTAAATTTTATTCTGGAATTAACACGTGAAGACTTGTTCTTGCCAACAGTCCTCTTGCAGTCATTACTTCAAAGATGATTTCTGTCTTATCTCTGTCACTCATAGAATTATAGAATTGCTTCTGTTGGAAGTCCAACTTAATGCTGCCAGGTCCACCACTAAGCCACGTCCCTGAGCACCACATCTACATCTCTTTTTAAATACCTCTGGGGATGGTGACTCAACCACTTCCCTGGGCAGCCTCTTTCAGTGCTTGACAACCCTTTTGGTGAAGAATTTTTTCCTAATATCCAATCTAAACCTCCCCTGTGCAACTTGAGGCTGGTTCCTTGTCTTATTAATTGGGAGAAGAGCCTCACCCTCACCTTGCTGCAACTGCCTTTCAGGTAGTTGTAGGGAGAAATAAGGTCTCTCCTCAGTCTCCTTTTCTCTAGGCTGAACAACCCCAAGTCTCTCAACTGCTCCACCTATGACCTGTTCTCAAGACCTTTCACCAGCTTCACTGCCCTTCTCTGGACATGCTCCAGCACCTCAGTGTCTTATAGTGAGGGACCCAAAACTAGTTTACATCTGAGAAGGTGGAATTTAATCATTACAGTGGAAATCATCACAGTGGAAATTAATCATTAACTGTAGATGACTTTCAAAATCAGATTAATCTACGGAAGAAGTGTAGCATTGAAATGGAGCTGTTGGGTAAGAAGAGCTACCTGTTCAACATGTATCAAAGTAAAGCACAACAGAACAATATTACCACTACTTCCTGCAAAATTGTCTTATATGTGAAGTTTTAATTGAAGGTCAAAAGTAGTTGAGAAAAACCTATTACCTATATAATATGAAACCCAGATCCTTCAAGCAACTACTTAAGGGGAAGCAAAGTCCTATTTTGTACTTTAGATGGGTTAGGATTTATGTTTAATTTGAGGTTACAGCTCTTTTATTGTTCATTTTTATGGATTTGTAGTATTACATGCAAAGTCATTAGCACCAGTTATTTATTGTCGTCACTGTAGTAGCGCTGTTTCAGAGCTCTGTATTTCCTGAGAAAGTACAAAGCCTCCAACTCTTTTATAACAAATTCTCCTCGTGCAATTAGTTCCTTAATTTTTTCTGGATCTTTCACATCTTTATTTTTTAGAAAAGCAGCTTTCAAACGGCTTCTAAAGTAGTCTGCTCCTTTGGGATACTCCCTTCCAAGGTACAAGAGCTTGAAGGTGAAAAAAAAAAAAAAGGAATTTTTTTTTAAATAAATCAAGCGCACAGTGAAAGGGTTTTGTCTGGTTAAGGAACGTGCTCATGGCATTTAGACACTTACATTTTTGTATAGAGTCAACACTTCGTGTCTTAAAGAACTGGCCATTCTCACATTTCAGTGAACAATTTATTCTCGTCTGATTTATTTTTTTTTACCTGAAGAATAATTAGTTTGACATTAGCCTTCC